GAGTTTGAAATCACTTCACTGAAGTTAGAAGAGCTTGAGAGTAACATGAAGAAACCTTTTTTAGTTCAGGCGAGAGACAGATTAAAGGGAGAAGAAAGAGAGGTTCAGATGACTCTTAATACCAGGTATAATTCTGAGTTCTGTTACCATAAATTTACTAAAAATTTTAATGCTCTTTTTAGCTAGGCTAGTATTCTACTAAGTATGCTTATTTTATTTGGTGGTCACAACAATCATAAGAGAGGTTACCAGTATGATGGCCATTTTACTGATGAGGAAACAGATGCTCAGGGTAGTTAAATAACATAACCAAGCCACACCACTGGTGAGAGACTTAAGTGGAACTTTGAGTCTGTGGAGTTCCAAAGGCCATGTTCTTTCCACGGTCTCCCCTTGGGCATGGTTTGGGCACGTCGCATAACTTCTCTGGGCTTTGATTTTCTCATTTCTGAAATGAGAGCACTGTTTTAATCCCCTTTGTATAGGAAGTTTATCCCAGGACATATCCCCATTTTACATAGGTGGGAACTGAGGCTCAGAGTCTATACATTGTTATCCAGGGTCACATTATTAAATAGAGCCCATTTTTTGAGCTCTATTATGTTTCTACTAATAAAATAATTAGTATTCATAATGAGGCTTATTTGTTATCAAGGCAAAATTAAATTACATTCAGTGTAGTTGACCCTTGAACCACATGGGGCAAGTGCTGACCCCTGCACAACTGAAAATACATGTATAACACATATTTTGTATGTTATATGAATTACATACTGTATTTTTTAAAAAAAAAGGTGGGGAAAAGAAAATGTCCTTTCAAATGGTCTCAAATCTCCCCAAATTTTCCAGTAAAATTATTGCAAAAAAAAATTACGCATATAAGTGGACCCACACAGTTCAAACCCATGTTTAAGGGTCAACTGTACTATGTATTTCACAGGAAAAGGAAAGGTTTAGTATGTTTTACAACAATTTTCCATTCAGGCATTAAACTGTTATGAATTCTTGGATATAGCAAACAACTCATTCATTGGCATTTTGGATTGCTGGGTTTAGATTTTAATATGATGTATGTACATATCATTGTATGTATTCTTAATGGATAATTGTTTTCTGCTCTTGGTTAAATAATGGCACTAATATGTTTTATATGATATCTTTCTGTTATTTTTTTCACTCACGTCTGGTTTATTTCTCACCCAGAATGGAGTCTTTGGAGAGCGCACTGCAGATTGTATTACCTGTGGAGAAGGAATCACTCCTTGTCTGTGGTTCAGACCTGCTTCTCCATGAAATGGCCATTGAAGAATTTCACCTCACTAATGCTGATGGCATTTATCAAAATCTGAGGGTAAACAGAAGCTCTCACAGTGTATTTGTAGAGTAAATAAGTTCTTCAGAGATTTATACATGCTTATGGATTTTTAATTGTATAGCAATAATATACATTTTGAATATAAGCCATGGCAAAAGAATCTTCAGTAATTTAGACTTGTTATTTATTTCTCAATTCTTTAATTCCTTGCAAATTTGGAAGTAAGAACTGTGGAGTAAATAGGTATTTTCTTTGAAATGAAGGTTGTTTATGAATGCCTTTTCCAATGACTGAAATCCTAACTATTTTACTAGACTCACATGCTTAAATTGGCATATTCTACAGTTGACTTATTCCAAATAGCATCTTAAATTAAAAATAATTTTTGTTTTTCAGATTATGAACAGATGTTTCAACAATTCAATTTCTAATTATTTTCATTGCAGCAATAGATTTAAATACTTGTTTTCTTTTTTGGGGATTGAAACTTCAGGAGGGTTATCAGTTAATGAAACATCTGGGCCCCCCTGATTATTTGTACTTAAAATGGTCCCTTCTGGTTGAAACTGTCAGCCTTGGTTAAAATGGGAATTAATTTTTTAGAACCAGTTCTAGCCACATAATTTTCAGGTTCATTTCTGATGTGCAGTCTTTCTTTCATCTGCCTCAGTGTTCTCAGCTTTTCTTACCTTTATTTTAGAATATCCAAGATTCCATAGCAAAACAGATCGAAATATGCAACAATTTGGAACAGTTGGGCAACTATACATTAAAGGAATTACACCCACTTGATGTATGTGCAATGCAATGTATTATACAGAAACTCAGAACACAACTCGAAGAAGTGAACTACAAGGTGCAGAGGAGTAAAGATGCCCTCAAAGCTCTGGAAGAGTTTTTGGCTTCTCTGAGAACAGCTGAACTTTCTTTTGAGCCTGTTACAAACCTTTCAGCCTCAGATATACAGGTGGTACCAGGAAATACTTTGGCAGTAGAAAATAAAGAGGGAGAAATTCATGTAATGAAAGATATGGCGAGACTTTTGGATAAACGTTTGAAGATGCTCAATATAAGCTTTAAAGATGCTAAGCAGTGTGAAGATACCTCCTGTGAAAAACTTCTTGATGCTTTGTCCAAAAAGTTCTGTGAGCCACATGGCCATGGTGTACTGGAGGAACTCAGTGAAGAAGACAAATTACTCGAGACTTGTATTTTAAAAAATAATGAACTCCTGAAAAATATTCAAGAGGTACACAATCAAATCAGTAAGATTGGTCTTAAGGATCCAACTGCTCCAGCTGTAAAACAACGGTAAGTATCAGTCAACCATTTCTCCATGAAAGATGACACTCTTCTCTATTTGTAAATATCTTTTAGGTGAAACAAATACTTTCTGTGTCTTTCTACTTTTATTCCATCCCATTCTATTCGGTGTTCAGCATTCTTTTTCTTAGACTTTTCAAACAAGGTTCCTTTCTGTTGATATTGTGCCTTTATAAAGTGTATAATTTTTTTCTCTTTAAACTGCATTCTCATGGACAAAGGAGTAGTGAGATAGATAAGTATAAAGTACATGAGTTCTTTCAGAGTCTCTTTAGTGTGTTTGTTAGGGGATCTCTTGATGGGGAAGACTTGGAAACTTCGCATGTATGATAGTAAACAAGTGGTGGAAAACACACGTGCCACACCTTGTCCCTGTTTCTTCCTTAATTATTTGGTCTCATCTGCTCCTGCAGGATTAGGATGGGGACTGGGTGGGAAGGCATGGGACTGAATTTCAGAGGCAAGCTGAGGTTAATGTTGAATCTGGAGACTGAACGGAATTGCAGTAAACTGAGGTTGCAGCCTTCTAGATGAGTGCAGCTATTTTAATTCAGAACCAACCTCCATGTCCTGAAAATGAAAATGTGAGCAAGAGTTACTTTTGTGGAGCTCCTCTCCCTTTTCTAAATCTCGCCCACTCTCTGTCTCTTCTGCCCACCTCTGTTGCCTCAGCTCAATGCTCTCTAGAGGCTAGTTAGCTGACCAAACTCTTCCCTCTGAAATTTCCCTGTGCTCTTAGTCTTAAGGAAACTAATGTTCCTATAACACCCCAGTTCTTAATGAGGTATTGAACTAATTACTAATTTAGTTATTAATTCTTTGTTAATAAATTTTTATCATAAGTTTACAAACAGTAAATAAATATTAATTTATAAATGAAAAACCATACATTTATAAATAGTAAATTGCTTAAGATTGCAATTCAGTTATTAATACAACAAGTATGTATTGTTGCTAGGCACTGTTTTTGGCTCTGGAGATAAGCAGTCAACAAAATAGATTATTATTGCCCTTTGTAGAGCTGCTTTTCTAGTGGGAGGAATAAGAAAGCAGTACGTTTGGTGGTGATAAAATCTATGGAGAAAAATTAACTAAGGAAGGAGGAGGGTGTTGTAATTCAAATAGTGAGAAGGTGACCTTTGAGTAAGGTGGGATGAGAGAGCTGGCCGAGTGACTACCTGGAGGAAGAGCCTTCCAGGCTGAGAGAGCAGTAGGTGCAGATGCCAGGTGTGCGAATGGGTCTGGCATGTGTGAGGAGAGGTGAGGAGGTGAGAAGGTTAACAGTGAGGGGAAGAGAAATGAAAGGTCAGAGAAGTAAGGGTGGGATGGGGCTTAGCTTTTGTAGGGACTCATGGGACACGTGACATGGGAAGTCACTGGAGGGTTCTGAGCAGAGGGAAGTGGCTTGGTTTCCACTGTAACAGGTTCTGTCTGGCTGACGTGTTGAGAATAGACTGTAGGAGTCAAGGGGAGACACAGGAAGCCTGGACCGGCCTATTGCCGTAATCCAGGTGAAGGGTTATGGTGACATGGACTGGTGCTGAAGTGGTGAAAACTGTTAAGGTTCTGTATATATTTGTGGATAAAGTGAAGGTCCTGTGGCCAGGATTCTCACCTGGCCCTGGTCACTAGCTCACTACACATGTGTGGGCAATATGCTGCAATATAAAGAGCTCTGCCCAGTGCTCTACACAACACTGTGGCATGGCTGCAAGGCTGCAGGAGAGCAGAGCAGAGGCTGGAGTGGTGGCAGCACCAAGGACAGAGACTAAGATGGCTGCACAGGCAGAGAGGCCCAGATGCAGAGACCGGCTTGCTGCATGCAGGCTTGATCTGAGTAGACGGGATTCTAGTGATTTGCCACCATGGAAATAAAGTTGGGTATACCCCTTTCATCCCAAGAACATTCTACTGTCATTTCGTTGGTCACATTGGATCCATAGTGAACTTGTCCGGGGCTAAAAACCATTGGGAAGACAATATTTCAAGATAGAATCCACAGCTTTGTTGATACATTGTGCACAGGATGTAAAAGAAAGATTGTAGTCAAGAATGAGTCCATGGTTTGACTCGAGCAACTAGAAGAATGGAGTTGTCATTAACTGAGATGAGAAAGAGTGAAATTCATCAAATATTAAATGAAAGATCAGGTGTGCTAAGTTTTAGAAATAATAAGTTCAAAGGTCTTATTTGACATACAGGTAATCATGAGTAAGACTCAAACACAGATAGAGTCAGAGGAGACGTCTAGGCTAGAGAATACTTTTGAGAGTCATCAGCATTTTAAAGTGTAATTTAAAGCCATGAGATGGATAACATTGCCGAAGGAGTGAGTTGAGATGTGCAGAAGGAGTGGTCCAAGTTGCATACTCCAGGCATTCCGTGTTGAGACATCAGAGAGATGAGGAGGAACCAGCCAAAGGCACTAAGAAGGAGGGGCCAGTGTAGGAGGAGGACAACCAAAAGAGTTATGGAGTCAAGTGAGAAGGCCTTTCAACAAGGAAACATGGTCAGTTGTGTCAAATGCTGCTGACTAGTGAAGGCAGGTGAAGATCGAGAATGGAACATGGATTTGGCAATGTGAGGGACACCGGAGATCCTGACGAGCCATTTTGGAGGAGCAGTAGGAGGGAAAGCCCCATGGGAGTGAATTCCAGAGAGAATGGGAGGAGACAAAGTAGCCACTGTATGTAATGAAAGCAATACAGACCTAGAATGAATGGAATTAATGCCACCAGGTTTAGTTTGCAGGTTAAAACTCTTAGATGAAATAACTCCTCTTTGATACAGAAGAGCATTGTGCACACAAGGTAGAAATGAAAAATTCCCTCACTCCTTCCTTTCTCCTTGGCCCTTCTACCCTTCCAAGGAGGTTGCAGTGCTCTGCTGTCCATCTCTTTTCCTCTTTCCATATCATGCTCTGTCCCATTCACACACACACACACACACACACACACACACACACTCTCACTCACTCTCTCTCTCTCTTTCTCTTTTCTCTGATGTGCATATACCCTTTACTAGTGTGTTCATCACAGAAAAGTGTTATTGCTTATGATTTTGTATATTTATTCTATTGCAAGCACCAAATTAATATTCTGGTAATGCAGAGAGCCTTGTGAACTGTCTTGCAGGAATGTGTGAATTTGGCATAAACCTCATGAAGACAAATTAAAGTTAGTGTGACCCCCCCCACAAAGACCCACATTTATGAAGTCAAATTGACTAATAATTGGCTATCAAACTTTTCTCTTTCATAATCAAGGAAAAAATCGTTACTCAAACTGGATAAGGATCTAGATGAATATGAAGAAGAGAAGAAACACTTGCAAGAAATGGCTAATTCTCTCCCACAATTCAAAGATGGCAGAGAGAAAGCTCTGAATCACCAGTGCCAAAATACAGCACTCTGGTGGGAGAATACAAAAGCTTTAGTCACTGAATGGTAAGGAAAAAATCCCGCCCAAATCTGAAAAATTGTCTGCAGCACAATTAGCTTTTTGAAATTCATATGTTGAAAACACATTCCCATGGACCTAAAGGAGGGTCAAACATAAAGAGTTTTCTATTGGAAGGTTACTGGGCCAATATCTGGCACAAGACCATAAGACCTGGAATCCATTACAACCAATGAATTTAAGAGCTTATCTAAGAGGGTTAACAACTACACAGTATATTTATGATTGTCACCCACTGTACTAGTTTTCTATTGCTGTTTTAACAAGTCACCACAAATTCAGTAGCTTAAAAAAAGCACCAATTTATCTTATAGTCCAGAAATTAGAAATTCTGGAACCAAGCTGCCTTCCTTTCCAGAGGGTCTAGGAGAGAATTCATTTCCTTGCCTTCTGGAGGCCTCCTCCTGTGTTCCTTGCCTTGTATCTGCTTCGTCCATCTTTACAGCTAGCAGCATTGCATGTTCAAATCGCAGTCATTCTCTCTCTCTCTGTCACCTCTGCTTCTGTTGTCATATCTCCTGCTGACCCTGAACCTCCTGCCTCCCTTTCATAAGGACCCTTGTGATTATTTTGTGCCTACTTGGATAATTCATGATAATGTCCCTATTTTAAGATCCTTAATCATATAAGCAGGATTCCCTTTTGCCATGTAAGGTAATATTCACAGAACCTAGGGATTAGGATGTGGGCATCTTTGGGGGCCGGGGAATTATTCTGGCACACTGCCCTACTTGAATGGCAGATGTTGCCTGTCAGTTACCATCATCTTTCCTATAGAGCCTGGGCAAGGTTCAAAAGTTTTCTTAACTATTTGACAGCCGTCACCTGTAAGTCCCAGTTGGCGATTCTACCAAATATTCTCCACCCATCCTTCTCTCCCTTACTTTCTGTCTAGAGGTGGCAGTGGCTGGAGGGCTGACCCCTAACAGATTACCAGACAGACCAAGGGATAGGATAAGCTGGGATAGGACATGGGAAGTACTAGTAGATTTGCGGACAAGAGTAGCGAGAGGTGAGGGTGGTGTTAACCCCTTCTGTTTCCAGCAGGTGGCTCCAGTGACTCCTATGGGCACCTCGTCTCTCTCAGGGCACTTTCCCTCTTTCCCTTGTGGTGAATTGCTGTTGCTCTGTAGCGCCTCAGCTCCCTGGTAGTTTACCTTAACTGACCACTATCAGGGGCCCTTCCCCACAGAATAACATCTGAGTACACCTCCTGTTCTCTACCGGAACCTGAGTGCACAGGAGTCAACATAAAGCGTGTTTGTGGATTTGATCTGGTCTACCCTTGGATTTTACAGAGGAAAGAATTGAGGTCCAAAGAGACTTAATGTAACTTATCTAAGGTTACATGACTGATTAGTGCCCAGCCATAACTAGAATCAGGTATCCTCATTGTCACATTTTCTGTACTGCTTTACCTTTTAGAAAGGAATAAAGAATGAGTTGAGTAGACATAAACATCAACATGACTTATTGAATTAATCTAGAACATTCTTCAAGAATAATGCTAGGGAAGTGCTGTTTTCCAAGATGTCTTTTGGTTAGTGATGAAATTGAGTTGCTGATTTCTTAAGATAATGAATCCTGTGTTTCTTTCTAGAGTTTACATCTGGTGACTTTTTAATATTGACCTGGTGAAAATAATAATCCAGTGATTATATCATCCATTTGCCAGAGTAATTTATGTGCCATCGTTCTTAGGTTAAACTGGTAAATCAAAATTATAGACCATATCTAGAGGAAAAAAAATCCTCTTATAATAACTTACTAGTCATTATTACAAAGTACTTAAAAAAAGAGAATGGTGGTATTATTTTCAAACATTTAACTGTTGTACTTTTTTTTTTTTCTTCATAGCCTTGACCAGTGTGAAAGAGTTTTGGAGCTCTTAAAACAGTATCAGAATTTTAAAAGTGTTTTGACAACTTTGATTCAAAAAGAAGAGAGTGTCATCTCCCTTCAGGCATCATACATGGGAAAGGAGAACCTGAAGAAAAGAATAGCAGAGGTGAGTCCACCTTCCGAAGGGAACTCTGCAGAGTAACTTGACAATAAAGGCTTTTGCAAATGGAGTCATTTTTGAAACTTGGTTTAAATAAGTTCCTAGTGACTGTTTCACCAGATGTCTAAGGATTTATTGAGTTTATCACTAGGGCTTGAAAAAAAACAGTTCCCCTCATTGAGGCTGGGTCACATCTATTTGGATTTTGATACTGGCAATTGTGGTTCTGGGTCTATTTTAATCTAGGGTCATACCTGCTACCTTTGTAACAGACTGTAACAGTCTTTGCACTCACCTTCTACCTAAGAGGAGTCTGAGACTTCACTGCAGATCTGAGAGAATGAAGATAGTAGGAAAACCCTTCTGTTGTTAGTGGACAAAGGAAAAAGTACATTTTTATTTGTTTTCTCTAAAGATGTGTGAGCTTATCTCCAAGTTGTTCCATCTGTGTTTGTAGTCTCACCAATCAGCTCTATATTCTAAGAATAACACTTTTGGACACTAGATGTCATTATTTTCTATGATTTTTGTGTGGTTATCAACCAGAGTGGCAGAAGAATGGAGTAAAGAATACACTACACTATGTTACTGTGCACTAGAACATTGCTTTTCCTGCTGGGTTTATGAGTACTATGCTAAAGTACTGTCAAAGTGTCAGTAACATGTATGGAATGTGGTCTATTTGATATACCTGGTTGTTAGAAATCAGTTTATTAAAGTAGAGTTGCTGAGAGCAGCGGGAAGCTTATAAAGACCAGAGTGTTATAAATTAGTCTTTATCTAGAACTCTCATCGTTGAAGCTGAAGTGACAGTGTGCAGACACACATGGCTAAAGGCACAGATGAGGAATAGCTCCTGTCTAGGACCCACTTTCTTAGCCCCAGTTTCATGGAACTGATGAATCACAAAGAGCTCTGTTTGGACAACATTTGTACAATCCATGACTGTGTAACTGATCTCCTTGGGACTTAATTGAGGTAGGCCACCAGGATCATGAGCAGATAATCAGTTGGAATCGCTCAGAAGCAACTTGTCTGGTTCCATCAGTAGAGGCAACTTCTGGATTTGGTGGTCTTGGGATCTAGGAGGATCCTGTCCTCATCCCAGTGGATTTAGGGAGCTGTGGCTCACTTGGTTCTCAGAGATTCTAACATGGTCAGCCTTAAAAGATCCCCTCAAACAGTTGCTTGAGTACTCATCCCACTGCCCTATAACCATAAAACCCCATTACCTGTAAGCTGTAATTTCTGAATAAGTTATTAATCTGACTAATAGAACTTCCTTCCATCACCTTAAGGCAGGTGGCCTCTCTCTTGGGTGAGCTCCCTGATGGGAATCCAGGTCCAGGTCTCAACCCTTCTGCCATCACTCGCTCTGCTATGGCTTGTCTTTCTTTAGACAGCTGTAACAAAAATACCATAGATGGGATGGCTAATAAACAACAGAAGTTTACTTCTCACAGATCTAGAGGCAGTTCTTATAGTTTATAACATTCTGCTCTTGGCCTCTCAAAACTGATCTCCTTCTCACATGTGAGGTACATTAATTCCATCTCAACAGCCCCAAAAGTCTTAGCTCATTCCAGCATCAGCTGTAAAGTCCAAAGTCTCATCTGAATCAGATATAAGTGAGATCAAGGTGTAAATCACCCTGAGGGACATTCCTCTCCAGCTGTGGACCTATGACACTGAACAAATTATATGCTTTCAAAATACAGTGGTGAAACAGATATAAGATAGACATTACCATTCCAAAAGGGAGAAATAGGAAAGAAGAAAGGACTAATGGGTACCAAGGAAGTCCAAACCCTAACAGAAACATTTCTCATAGTTCTGGAAGTTGGAAAGCCCAAAATCAAGGTGTCTGTGGATTTGGTATCTGGTGAGGGCCCGCCTCCTGCTTCATAAATGGCTGTCTTCTTGCTGTGGCCTTAAGTGTGGAAGGGGCCAGGGAACTCCCTGGGGTCTCTTCTGTGAGGGGGTGAATCCTGTCCATGAGGGCTCCACCCTCATGACCTGATCACCTCCCAAAGGCCCTGCCTCCTAATACTGTCACATCGGGGATTAGCATAAGAACTTCTTACAGTTTCTTACCAATGTACAAACTTGTGCCTTCTTGTTTCAACAGCAATTTCAATCATACATTAAGTCAAAAAATGAGGACTTTTAATAAATTATTCTTATATATAATATGACTTCATATATGTATAATATGGAAATTATTACAATAAGGTCTAACTTTTTACTATTTTAAATAACCTGTAGAGTATTACATTTCAGTAAATGTGATAGTGTATGGTTTGCAATTATATAGAGAGAACATAGGAATTATTGAGAAAACCACTGAGATATAAATGGATATTCATACATAGGAAATAAATTGATGGTTGTTAAAAAAAAGGAGAGAGCTCAGTCTCGTGTGTAATCCAAGGAAACCAAAACTGCTTGAAAATAACCTTTTTATTTTAAACCTTTAGTTAGTTAACGAAATGGGCATTCTTTACATTGTTGGTGAAAGAGTGTATCGATACTGACTTTTTGGAAAACACATTGACGATGTTACGCAAGATTCCTGAAAATCTTTCTATCATTCAACCAAATATTTTACTTCTAGGATCTATTGTAAGAATAAAATCTTACATATGGAAAATTCCTAGTGCCAAAAATATTCATTCCAGCACTTGACACCTTTGCTCATTCCCTTCTTTCTTCACTGGCCACACCATACCCCCTTCACTTGCCCCAGAAGCCAAAAATCCCTGAAGCCAGAAAAATTGGTTTTATTTCCAAATAAGATTAGCATGTGGGCCTGAGGTTTTAGGTAATACTAATACTGCTTACTACTAGTAAAAATGATAACGATGGTGATGGTGATAATAACTTTATCACTGATGGCTTGGTCATTATAAACCAAGTACCTTACATGCTGTTATCGTTTCATTCTCACAATAGGCCTCTGAGGTAGGTAGCATTATCCTGTTATACTGGTGAGAAAACTGGGGCCTAGGGAATTTTGGAAGTAGCAGTAAGAGTTTTAATGTTATTAAGATGGTATTATGAATAAAGAACAAAAAATCTCCTTCCTGCCCCATCAGTTTTCCTGACTGTGGGATTGTCAAGGGAGATACATACTGAAAAAATAAGAGCAGGCGATTCTGCTTTATCATGATCTGCACAAATGCCCAATACTCCAGCAAGTTCTCTGCTAAAAAAATGGGCTCGAGCATGTGGGCCAGACTAAGTGTCTGCAAGGCTTTCATCCAGATCCACATCCAGACTTTGGAATCTTACCTCCCTTTGGTCAGCTGCACTGAGTAGGTCAGATACTGATACAGTGATTTGGGTTCTTCAGCTAATGTGAAGACAGGCACACAATGCTTATCTCAAGGAGCTGCACCTCTTCTTACCCACTGAATGATAAGGAAGCAACACGAAGCAGAAAAAAGAACTATGTCCACTTGTTGAATTTTTCAGGCATGCTGATCCTGCTGACTAGTAAATGTGGTCCAATTTATTTCTTGGAATTTGGACAGTCAGATTAGCAGCTTCCTCTGTGAAAAAAAGGAAAAAGTGTGGATAGAGGTTAACTAACTTTCCCAAGATTATATGGCTAATAAGTAGCAGAATCATTATTTAACCCCAGATCTATTGGACTAGAAAGTCATATTTCAATCATCGTAACATTGCCTTCACTGAAGACATATTTGAAATATCTATATGGCCCAGGTAAAAGTTGGCCAACTTTGCTTTGTCTGTATCCTTTGCTCAACTGTAAAGATTTGCCCAAAGATATTTTAATAATTAATAAAATAACTGTAATTACCTTTAAGAAATGTATAAGAGTATCCAGGGTTCTTTTTATGTTGATAATCATGTATCTAGTATAGTGTATAACATGTGGGCACTTTATGCACTTGCTGAAATAGTACATTCCGTTGTATAGAAGATACAGAAATTCTAGCACACTAGTATTTAATTTTTAGATGCTTTTTTAACTAAAAGAAACACATTTTAGTACTGATGGCTAACATAACTTTCAGTTCATTTCATGATGTCTTCAGAAACAATCCATTTGTGGACTGTGTTGTCATGCTTTGACAGTGGCTGAAAATATGACACCTCTGGGAACTTTTGTCTTCACAACCATAGAAACCTGGATGTTTATCTGAGATACGGTGCTAAATTTCCACTTTTCTTAATGAAAGACAGAATTGCAAAAGTAGGACTAAAAGGCTAGAGTGTCAGGAGACTATTCGAGTTTGGGAAATGTCAGCATGGGCCTACTTGCCTTTATTTTACACCTTCTATTCACTGTAGAACAAAAGCCACAGTTCCTGTCAATGCTAAAAGGACCCTGTCCTGCTCTTTCTTTGGGTCAATGTAACAACAAAGCTTTTTGAGTATAACAAAAATTAAGATATGTATATATACATTTTTCCATTTAATTGAAGAAAATCTGTTATGCCCCAGTGCAGAGAGTCCTGACCCGGGACAAAAAACACCTGAGTTTGCATCTTAGCTCTGCAAACTTAGCAGTCAGCATTCCTGTCAGGAGACAGAAACCTCCCCGGGAATTTTTTTTTTTTTTTCATTTTAAAATTTTTATCTAGTTTTTATTTTTTTAACTAAACTTTTTATTTTGAAATAATTACGGATTGACATGCAATTGTGAGAAGTAATACAGAGAGGTCCTGTGTATCCTTTACTAAGTTTCTCCAATGGTAAAATCCTATAACACTATATACTACAATACTGCAATCAGGATACTGACATTGATACAGTCAAGATAAAGAAGATTTCCGTCACCACAAGGATCCCTCAGGTTGTCATTTATAGCCCTACCTGCTTCCCCATTCCCTTCTTAGCCCCCAATAACAACTAATATGTTCTCTATTTCTATAATTTTGTCATTTCAAAAATCATACGTAAATGAAATCATACAGTATGTAACTTATTAGCTGTTTTCACTCAGCCTAATGCTCTGGAGATTCATTCAGGTTCTTGCA